CGCGCCGTGTCTCAAGGCGGCATGGCGCTGCACTTGGCCTTGCAGGCTCGCGGGGACCCATCCAAAATTCTACACTAAGTAAGCCCGACAGCTCAAAGCACGGGATGCCCCCTTCTCAGTACCCCGCCCCCACCTTCCGAAGAATTGTTCAGAGGGAGGTTCAGGAAGACACCACAATAAGCAGCCAAATCAAGCGTCTCGACGGGGTCAGTTTGCTAGGTAGTTGGTTTCTCAAGAGTGTGGTAGATATGGGGCTTGTGACCAGGATTTTGAGAGGTTGAAGATAATATGGCAGCCGAATAAAAATCTTGGAGCCCCAAGCCTCTTGAACAAGATAGCATCTAGAATCTATAGAACCATAACTCCTGAAGCCCCAAATGCTGATGGACGACCCGTGCTCCCAGGAGCGCGAGACTCAAGACGCCACGATGCAAGAGGTCCGCCGTTGGCAGGTACTGTACGACTTAATCAGACTTATTCCCAGAGTACTTGGGAGTCACCTTGAGGACGTCAAGATTGAATTAGGAGTTTGTATGAAAAGACTGATCAGATCCATAGCAAAAGCTATAATGTGACCACTGTCACGGTGTCATGGCATAGTAGTGCCGTGAAGGTGACACGATTGCTGCGAAAGAGACTCGAAGCCCAGATTCTGAAGCTCATTGGCTTGGGGTGCTATGCAGCAATTGCAAAAGCCTTGCAGGGATACTCAGGTAGGTTCTATCGTTCCTGGTGAGATGAAGATTGCCTCAAAGACACTGGCTGTTTTCTCCGACCTGCACCCTAAACCCTAATAAACCCCCTTCATGGGGCCCGGGCTGCTGAGCTTAGGTCGTCTGTGCAGTGCTTGCTGATGGCCTCTCTATCGTGTCGCTGTTGCTTTCCGGGTTGGTGGGGCACCACTGCTTCCCGGCACCCTGGCACGATGGCCCAGCTTTCCAACCACCGAAGCCGTGCTTTCGAACGCGAATAGAAGTCCCAAAGACCGCGAGAAATCCGAAGACTTTGGCAGCAAAGTGGGAGCCAAGGGAGTTAGGGTTGTCCGGCACATGGGACTTGAAAGAAATGGGTTTCGGAGCATCCAGCCGCCTCAATCCGAATGACAGGCACCGAGCTTTATGGGGGAATTGCTTCCGGAGTCTGTCGAGAAGCTGGTCGTCGCGCCTTGCCCTGCAGGAACGCTCAGCCTTAGGCCCAGCGAAGGCAGGGAGAAAAGCTCCTAGCACCCGCTTCAGTCAGGCATAGAATGTAGATACCGCAGCGGTCAGTAGTCGGGAACGGGACGGGGCCTGCAGCGCCCACTGCTGGTGGATAAGTTTAAGGTTTCCTGGCCTCCGCTCTTCGGCTGGTGCTTGGCCCGATGCCTCCATCGAGTTTTGACTGTCACCTGGCACAGACCAAAGACTTCACAGGCCGAGTGAGATGTGTGTTTTGCCTTCATACTTTTCGGCTAGCCACCTGTCACCCGACCATCGGATCAAGATCATGCAGACTGCGACCCCCCCCCCCCAAATTGAATCAGTCTTGACAATACGAAAAGCGAAGCTGGAAGCTGAGCTTGCTTTCTGAGGCCCAGGCTCCGAAGAAGGATGCTGGCCTCTGGGGTCACTTCGTTCCCTGGTGCCACCCCCCTCTGATATGGGTCTTTCGGCGGGAGAGATTGGGGGAGGGGCGGCTCAACTCTTCCATTACTCGTTCGGGGACTGTTGCGTGGGGGGGGGGGAAACTCGGAAATTAGGGAAACAGTTTGGGAGGTACTGGTGCCAGCAGTTCTTGGGCGCTTCCTGCTTCTTCCGCCTGGCGCTGCTCTCCTACAGCGCCTCGGCCGCCTCGTCGCTTTTCTTTTTTCTTCTTTCTTTCTAAGCTCTTCTGCACACTTCTTTTTTGCTATACTGCCATATTGTACTTATATACTTGACTTTAGGATGCTAGTAGTATGCTCCTCCAGTTCACATTGAAGGTAGGTTTGACTGCTGTTGCACTGGCACGGGAGCGGTGAGCTTGAATACCAGAGCGGTGCAGGTGCCTATGTTATGCAGTTCGTCGCACCGCTGCCGCTAACCTTTATCGACAACCGCTTCTTGGTGACTGACTATTTCTACCATGTTTTGACTGCAGGCCATGTCCCTTTCGAAGTCTTTCAGCTGGTCAAGAGCAGAGATCCTAGTACTCCACAGCTTTGTGCCGTCGTTCAGGCTTGGATCTGAGCTGGGCGGGCCTTGCGCCACAGGACAGGCTGGGGGCGATGCTGCGAGCACCGGTCCAGCGGCCTGGACTGCCAAGCTCTTCTCCCACTCGCAGAAGCAGGGACGCTGAAGGTTAGAGCGTGTCAGTCAGTGTTGCGGTAATCCACATCTCTGCGACTGAAGGATACTGGTTTGAAACGCAAGCATTCGAGCGTTTTGTGCTTTTTGCCAAGGTTCGCCCTTTGGACAACTCTTTCCTGCCTCATTGCGCTACCCTACCATGCCTTTCTCGAGGCGCCGGGAATGAGGCCAGGCATCCTGTAAACTTTGAGTGCTTCAGACCCCTTAAAATTTCATGGAAGGTTTGAGCAGCCACCAAAGCCTGAATTGCTAGTACGCCGAAAGTGGGAGACGAAAAGCAACTGAGTAACTGTTAGGGTTTCCTGCCAAGCTGACGGCCGCTCGCTGCATGTCTGGTCGTATTCTCTTGTTCGAAAGCGCACTCATGAGTGGCTTAAGATTTCCGTTAGGGACTCGAGGAAAAACCCACAAGTCTGGGGCGCTGTGTCCTAGACCTCCGCTTTGTTATGCTTTGTTTGAACAAGGTGGTAAGCAGCAGATGGGTAACCTGACAGGCGTCAGTCTTTCAAACATGCAGCAAGAGTCGTATTGCATCATATCCTGCAGACACGGGTGGTTCCGGATCTCCAGCGCCCGAAGAGCAGCGCGTCTGCCTGCTTCGACGGCGTGCTCTTGTTGGCCTTGCTTCCGAGCACAGGAGTAGTGTCGCCCTCCTTGTTGAGCTGCTGGCATAATCTACCATCCTCATTGATGTCCAGAAATTAGGTTCAATCGGGCGGTTCCCTGACAGGCTGGGCAAACGAATCGACGAAGCGATTCGGTCCCGGTTCTTGGGGACTTCCAGTGCAGCAACCGGAGGCAGGACTGATGACATGTTAACAGAAATGCAGTCGCTGGAGCTCTGAGTACCAATCATAATACATGGTAGCAGAGTTTGCCCTGGCAACCGTGGTGTCCGCAGTCCGCAGCAGCACAACAACTCGATCAAGCCCTGAATGCGCGGCTGATGGATCCTGGGCTACCAGTTCGCTTAACGAAGCCATCTACCTAGGTTCAGGGCCAGGTTGGTATTATGACAGTTATGACATGTCAGCGTTTAGGTACTGAATCAACTAGCAGCAATTCTTCGGAGGAGCTTGAATTTCCGCATAAGATTTGGCCCATCCAGGTACTGCTACCGAGGCCGATCCAAAACCAACGTCCCCAGGCAGAAATGAGGATGGCAGCGGTCTGTGTACTTGAGAGATGGTTTGGCTGCTAGTTTTTCTGACGTCGCATTGGGCCAAAGTGGGACAGCTGAAGTGTTTGCGATGTCTTCCGTGTCTCCGAGGCAGGATGCGACAGACGCAGTTGGCCCCAACCAGGTCGTCTGACCAGGCTGGGTGAGTGAGCTTTTCGAGAGTTCAATGCTCGGCACAACACAGGTTGTAGCAGTGGCTGGAGACAATTTTCCTCCATTCACGGGCGAAGAGTTTAGCGGTTTAGCATTGTCACTCATTGAAGCAACCACACGCTACTATGCTTCCACTCCCTTCTCGGGTAGACTTGACCTCTATTTGGACTGCAATTTGGCGTTGTGCTTTCCTAACCATACCCGATGATGATGCGTGCCAGGACGTGCGCGACTGCTGGGGCAGACTTTCCTGAGAATTGGTTGGAGTGCGAAGAGTCTTTCAAGAAGTTCTCTTTCCGGCCAGAAATGTTCCCCCAGACAGACATGTCTTGCAGCTAATTAAGGTTCCTAGGGAGAAGCCTGTGTAGAGCCCAGGGATCCGAGATGCCGGTGTGCTCACATGAGCACTTCAAGCATTTAAACAAAATTCGCTGTAAAGCCATGCAGAATTCGCTTTGGAACCTGGCGGGTCTCAGCTGTCTCCCGCTCTTCGTTCACCCCTCAAAGAGGCACCGGCGGCTTGCGCTCTTATTGCCGGTTTTGATGCTCATACACAGCTGTGGGCCAAGGGAGCTTCCAGTTCATTTCCCGCCTCTGAAGGAAATGACAAGTTCTTTCCGGGGCGGAGAAGCTTGAGAAGCTCCTGCACTTCCATGTGTAGTCACCGCTCGCTCATGTCAGAGCATGTGGGCAGCTGATTCGCTTTTGAAGCACAGAGTCGAAAGTTGTCAAGTCGGCCCCCGTAGGCCGTCGTCGTGCCTCTGCCCTGACCTTAGGGAGCAGCCCATAGCTCGAGGCTCATTCTGGCTCTCACTTGTGCATACAACCCCACGTGCAATGGCATCACCCTGCAATCAGAATCAGAAGGACTGCTTTTTCCGCTCAAAGGATTCTGAAGTCTGCTGTAGCGTTACACATGCAGGAGGAAGGGATTCGGCAGCTGTACCTCCTGGATGGTCGTAACATTGCATGCGAAGGACAGACTTGTGGGATTGCTCTGCCGGCCTGTCTCGTGGATGAATCAAGAAGTCCGCTGCCAGGCGTCTTAGTAATGGTAGTAACGTCATCTCCAAGTCAGACACCGATGAAACAACCCCTCCAAGACTGACGAGGAGCATCCTTCGAGCAACCGAACCTGCAGCTGCTTTGGACAAGCTTAGAATATCTCTTAGAATTCGGTCGCCCAATTTGGGGCTGGGCTTGCGCAATGAATTTCAAGTTCTGTCATGGTAGCCTGAACAGCGGGCAAGAGGTTCCGAAGATTCCAGAGCGGCAGCATACACAAGAAGGGTCTACGGCACCTATATTCCTTGAGGTTCCTGCATTCTAGCTAGATATTGCTTCAATTGTCCTTTAAAGCGCGTTTGAACTTACTCTTGCTTGAGGCAGCTGCGCTGTGCGCAGCGTTGGTGTGAGGAACACCGGCCGGATTGGCAGGTCCTGACTTTCGTGTACCAGGCTGCGTGCGAGTTCAAGTTCGGAGCATCAGGGATCCACTTCAATCTTTTGTTGCAATCTACAGATCTGGATTCCATTGCTGAAAGATTTGTTGCGTCTGGTGTCATCGCATGCTGATATCCCTTCTTAGTCTTTGCATCCAGAGCCAGCATCATTGGGCTTCCATCGCACTTTTCCGCTGCGTAAGGCCGCATGGCCATGGCCTGGGCCTAGACAACCAACATGTTGCGTGAGCTTGGTGACAGGGCCTTCTGCGCCGGTGGAAGCAAGAATATCCGGGAGATGCTTTGCTTCATTCAGAGTGTGCAAGAGCACGCCGCCTTCCCCCCTCCCTCCCTCCCTCCCTCCCTCCCTCCCCTCCCTCCCTTCCCTTCCCTCCCTCCCTCCCTCCCTCCCTCCCTCCCTAACCACGTTCACGACCACCACCACCACCGAGGACGTGACACGGGAATGGGAGAGGAGCTTGAGCGTGACCCCAGCGCGGGAGGAGACTCGCCTGCAGGTTTGAGTTTCAGAGTGAAGTGGCCTTAGGAGGTGCGGGAATCAGATCAGGGCTGAAGATGATGTAATTTCAGTGGCTCATGCTGATACAGAGGCAGCATTCAGAGAGTGAAGAGGTTCGTTGCTTCCGGCTCCCGGTGGAGCGTTGGACAGCACCTGTCAGAACTCAGAACCAAGGATGTGGACAAGTTCATCATTCGGAAAGCCGTGGACGAGCAGAAACGGGGATCGAATGTCAAGATAATTTCGAATGCTCCTCGCCTTTCCACCAGTGCCACTATTTCAAGTCTTCGTACATTAGTTAAGAAGAGCACAGAAAGCGCAGCATGATGAGGACAACTTTTCTGAGTACATCGGCAAAGTGGAAGACTTCCGCTTTGATGAAGCCTGGATCCGGCGGAATGCAGCGTGGCGAAGAGACTCTTTTGTCCGTGTAGTAGACTTTCGTGCGAGAGTCGGGGCCAGTGGTGGAGTTCAGACGTAAATCCACTGTTTCGAGTAGTTCCAACCCTTTCGACATGAACCCGAGAAGCTCCGAAAGTCAGACGTCAAAGAACTTTGCATCTTGCATTCCTCGGATTGCAAGCACGTTTGTTCAAGATGGTTTCAAGGATCCTGAAGACATCGCCGCAAAACCTTGAAGGGGGCCGAACACTCCAGCGTTTCGTCGGTTCATCATCGGCTACGGCTACGCGGCAATTTTCGTGCAGCTACCACCCGGCTTGAAACATCAGGTGGTCAAATTCTGCATCTCTGCGGGCGACTTCATCCCTGCCGACGGTGTAGGCGTTCTGCAATGAAAGAGCTCGATGTTCCTTACGATGGGTCATGAAGTCGCTGCTTCCGTCAGTAGCCACAGGAGACACCTTCGTCCGGAGTTGCAGACCCGTGATGACCTGTGCCACGGCGGCGAGGCCGGGCTGATGGGATCTGCTGACAAGCTTTGAGGGTTCAAAAAACAATGGGCCTGGTAAGCACACAGGGCCAGCCCCAATGGCAGAAACGGCAGCGCCGGCGCCTCCGCAGCGACTGCAGCTCCAGATCGCCAAAGTCTGCTGGTGCGCCTGACTGGCCACACGGATCGACATAGACCGACAAGGCAGGCACAGGACCAGGTCTACTTGTCGCCGCAAGGGTTTATCGGCAGTAGGCGCGATGGAAGCTTGGTGTTAGTGTGGGAGGGAGGTGTCTAAAGGGCGGTTAGAGAGTGAAGCCACGGTCCACGAAGCGTCGGATGCTTGTGTCATAGTGTGCCAACCCCCCATTCTTTTGGTTGTGAAGGTTGTGCAGGTCTCTTCTGGATGTCCGAGGCCGAGCAGCTCCCTCGCTGGGGGGTCTTCAGCTGGAGCATGGGAAGTCGCTGCAGGCCGGGGGCCACGTAGCAAATTCTAATGGTAATGCTATTGAACAGCATGATGATGATGATGATGGTGATGGCGATGGCGATGGCGATGGCGATGGCGATGGCGATGATGATGATGATGATGATGATCATCATCATGATGATGATGATGACGATGATGATGATGATGATGGTGATGATGATGATGATGATGGCGAAACAAGATGAAGATGGCGAAGATGGTGATGATTATGATGACCGTCGTCATCATCATCATCATCGTTGTCATATCAGGATTCTTGGAAACAGACT